GGCACTTGGTTTCTCAAAACAAGTAAACCCAAGAGAACGGGCAGTACCTATCCCGGCGTTAACAAGTCGATCGGGAGTCAGGTAATTCATGATGTCCATGCATTTATCCTTCTCCACAGCAAGCACGTCCTTGTAAATTTCTTCAGTAAGGACTGGATCAGGAGTCTTGCGGGGGAAGGCATTCCATTTCCGGGGAATTAGGCCTTCCGGGACAGACACGAAGAAGAACCGGTCTTTCCACCCTTTGATTGAGGTTGGATTTCCCTTGAACAGGATGTGTCCCGTTCGGGCACTAGTGGCTAGATAGCCGTGGGTTTGTTGGGGGGCAACCTTGAAAAATTGATGGAAGAGTTCTAGGGTTGGTCGGGCACCGGCATCTTTACAACGGAAAATAAAACCCACCATTGCCCGATAGGAGTTCGGCATAATTTGGGCCGGTACAACTTCGTAGAAGTTGAAGAATGAAATGTAAAAGGGGTGTAGCGGAAACCTAAGGCCGGTCCTAATTGAGTCGAAATGAACTATAGTCATTCCGGGCCTATGACGCATTGGGTGAAGCCCAGCTTGCAAACGGAAATCCACCGGGTCAGGGATAAGGGCCGGAATTTCGGCCCTATTATGGGAGGTCAGTTTTTGCCGCCTCTCCCTAATCAATTTTAGGTCAAGGGTATGGCGAGGGAAATCGTTGGGACGTCCGGCCGCCATGGAGGCTATTTCATCCTCGGATTTGGTATCATCGGAATCTTCACTGGAGGAAGAAGAAGTGCTAGGAAGGTCCTCCGCCTCAGCCCTGGTATTCGTCGTCGTTTCAGTAGAACCACCGGCAAACGGGACTGTGATGACGTCCACAATAGCGGCGTCACGGTCATCTCCATGGGAGGCCATCTCCGAATCAGAGGAATGTTGTTTGGGGCTCATCTCGGTCGAGCCAGAAATGAAGATAAGGAACAGAGGGAGGGAAGGTACCTGAGCGATGGAAGCTGGGAGAAGATTGCAGGGGAATCAACAAGGCGCAGAGAATTGCAGAATCGAAACCCGGATTTGAGAAGTTAAAGGCTAATTTATAGCCTTGAAACCGCCGTGTCAAGAACCAATCAGGGAGCGACACGTCACTAGAAGCATTTAAGCTAAACACGTGTCTAATGAAAAGACTAAACGGCGGTTACCATGATGAATATGGGGAAATGAAGCGGCAGCCGTCAAATCGCAGCATGGGGAACTGATTACTTCTGTACCCCGATCGCCATTCGGAGTATTATAACATTGATATTCATACTTCCTAATGCACTCACTATCGTTCGAGACATCGGAAGTGGGGGACTTGTGTTGGGATATTGATCCAGAGGCCCAATACCCGGGTCCGGAAGACCCAAGATATCCGGCCCAAGCAACGGGCCCATCACGCTATGAGGAGATAATCAAGGTAGAATTAATACCGAACGAGATTCGGCCCATCACGGGGTTCGGACTATATATCATACTTGGGCCAATTTGACAGCATCTTCAGCATAGCCCAACATCCCGTTCCAGCAACGGCCAACCAGCAAGTGGCCAGGTGCAATTAATGCCAGACTGTGACATCAGCAAGTGGAAGCATGGATGACCAAGTCGGTGGAACAACGGCCAATCAGCATAGGGCAGCCCATGCTCTCCATTAGTATAAATAGAAGGTTTCAAGTCATTGTAAGGGTTAGCATTTCAATACTCAGGCTCTAGAATAGCATCTTTGCTCTTATTTCTTGTATTAAAGCATTGTTTCCGACCTACCGATCGGGAAATTACTTGTAATCTGACTGGTTAATTAATACAAGTGAGCTTTCGAGTATTAGTGAGTTCATATTTTATATTTTGTTTATACACCTCGATTCTGTGTCATTCGTGATATATCCAAAGTTCGTGTTGGACTTTCGGATCTACGGGATTTACTTTCAACATGTATGAATATGAAAAAATATGTTACAGTAAAAGTGTATGGATATAAAAAGTATTATAGAAAAAATAGTGTATGAATATATAATACAATATACTTATTTTAGGTGGACTAATTTAATTAGTTAAAATTTCGTAATGAATTGATAAAGAAAAAAGGCAATCTCAATTATAATTTAATTAGTTAAAGATAAAAAAGTAAAATTCAAATTAAAATTTTTAGTAAATTTTAAAGAAAAGCAGAAAAGAATTGAATAAAAGAAAAAAATCACAAATTGATGGAAAAAGAGAGAAAAGAATTGAATAAAAGAAAAAAATCACAAATTGATGGAAAAAGAATAAAAAGAATGGTGTCATGTTTGAGACCGGTATACTATGTGCATGGTATAACAGTCCCACGGTATAATTTATGCCTCCCAACCTCGTATAAGTCTAGGATCGGTAGAACAGCTCGTGTTCCTGGGTAAATAAGTGGCCAATTCCGATGTGATCTTAGAATGTAATCTATGCGTACTTGTGATGAGTACAAAGTGAAAGAAAATGTTTACGGGAATCTTTGGTGAGGAGAAGAAAAAATTGTAGAGAATTAATGTACTAAGATTGAATTAAAAATTCAAGACAATCCAACATTAAAAGTTCATAAGAATGAATGAAAATTTTGAATACACCTAGACTTTTTTATACTTTTCAAGTCCACATTAAATACATCTACACTTTTTAAAACCTTAAAAGTCTATGTTGAATACAACTACATTTTGCAATACATGAACTTTTATAATTTTGTCACTACATCCTTACATAATACACCCAATTGTAGTATGAATTTTATAGTTTTTAAACGGAACACTTCCGTTTTTCTAACTATATTTTCTTATGCCTCTAATTAATTTTCCATTTTTGTTTTCTGGTACTGTTTAATTATAACCTCTATTTGTTATTAATTCCGGATAGATTTAGATTTGATTTTCCAACATATTCTCTATATATAAACAAATAAAGAAATTTATGTACATATTTATACATATAAGCATGTATATAATTCAACCAAAACCAAACAAAGTCAACCAGAACCACATTTGAACAATTGCGGGTAACCAGTTCCATCCGGTATGTAAGTAACAACAATCCACTTTGAGAATGGACAGAGACGGATCTAGGAAAGTCATGTTGAGGGCGAAAATATTTTTGGGGGATTCAAAATACTTTTTGGGAGAGCAAAATTTATTTTTCGTATATATATACACTAAAAAAATTCTGTTGAGGGGTAACCCCTGGGTCTCTACTACGGTCCGCCCCTGAGAATGGACCTATTCCATAATCAAAACTGTGTCCCCACTTGAGCACAATAATTGATTGGAGTGGGATAACGAATTTGCTACTATTGTGTGCTTCGACTGTTGGTGTACATTTAGGCGGGGGTTTTTGAATAGTTATAAAATAGATAAAGATCATAAAATTTTCAGTTCAAATCAAACCAGACTAGAGAATTTTTGTCCAATTAAAAACATCCTCATGCTGCATGCATGGAACCATCCTCATGCTGGGAACCATGGGCTGCTGCACATGGATGGTCAATAGTGGCCACCAGACACTATTATAGGTTCTATGAGTTAACTGAATCTGGGATTTCTCTTAGACCTTGTTTGGTTTAAAGGAGGGGAGGGAAGGGGAGAGTCAAGGAGGGAAGGTAAGGGAAAGATTTTGATAAAAATTTGTGTTTGGTTGGAGGAAATAGGAGGAAAGGTTTAATGAAAATATTTTCGCAATTTACTTTTATTTGATAGCTTACTTAAAAAATAGATACATGTCTAACTATTGTGAATATTACTCCTATGATCATGAGTCGTAATTTTATTTTATTTGATTTATTACTTTTTAAATTTTATAATTTTTCATTTTTCAGTTTGGAATTTTTAATTTTTAATTTTTTTGTATAAATTTTTTTATTTTTAATTTTTTAAATTTTTAATTTATAATTTTTAAATTTTTTAATTTTTAAATTTTTAATTTTTAATTATTTTTAATTTTTTAATCTTTAAATTTTTTAATTTTTAAAAACTTTTTGTTTTTTACCTTTTTATATTATAATGTCTTGTTCATTCACGTGAGAGATAGTTTGTGGTTATCAACATGTTTCCTGCGAAATACTCCGATTTGGGGGGTTTAGAATAGGAGGAAGTTGAGGATTTTGAAAGACTTCCACTTTCCTCCACTTCCCCCCTATTTCCTTCAATCAAACACACACAAATCCCTCACTTTCCTCTCATCCGAAACCCTCCAAGTCTCCAACCAAACAGAGCCTTAGAGGTTGTTTGATAACATGTATGCTCCATAATAATTACTTCCTCTATCCTGAATTAATCGTCTAATTTTGACCTTCACACAGATTAAGAAAATGAAGTTCACTTCACACTGTAGCGACACTATTTGACACTGTAGCGACGCTGTTTGGCACTGTGACGACTGACGACACTATTTGGCACTGTTTTGCACTGTGTTGCATTGTTTGACACTATTTACCAAATAAGGAAAATTTCAAAGTAGGACAATTATTTCAGGACAGACCGAAAAGGAAAACAGGATAATTATTTCGAGACGAATGGAGTACATTACATGCAAAATGTAAGGATGTAAAAAGTTTACATCATTTTGATTGATTGTTTGAGGTAAGTTGTAGGACATAAAAATATTTTTCACAATAACATGTAATGTATTTTACGTGGAGGAGAATGACAACATACTTTGCATGCTTTATATAAAGCATTGCAAATTTGCAATGCCTTTGCATGCAAACTAAGAATAAATTACACATTTAACCAAACAATATAATCTATTTTACATGTTGATTGATTGTTTTTCTTAACTTTGCATGCAATCATTTCGCGTGCAAATATGTAACGTGTAAACTACCAAACGAGCCCTTACATTTTTCCAGTACAGGAGGAAGTGGGACTCAAAAAGGTATTCCTCAGCGGAGTGAATGTATCAAGATGAACAGAATCCAGACGGCAAGCAAAAGGCCCATCTTAATTCCAACCCAAGTCTATTAGCTACTAACTATTGATTACAGTGACAAATTAAGGTGAGGTTGGTACAATTGATTTGTATTATGAACATTAATTAATTACTAATTGACATGATTCCTATTTCTCTCACCGACACAAATTATTATTTTGAGTGGACAAGCAGCCATGTGACTAAGAATTCACCTTGATTACACACATGAATTATAAAACTATGAATAAAAATAGGGTAAAAGAGAAAAAAGGGGTAAAAAGAAAAAAAGAAAAGAAAAGCCCCTTAAGTTTTAAGAGCACGGCCCTTGTACAGCCCTCTCCTTACGACAAAGTCATCAGGAAGTTGAAATTCTTCCAACCAGTTCACTCCAGATATTGCCACTCCATCTTTCTCAAGTTCCCCTTAAGACAATAATATGAAAGTAACACTGTTAGATTATCCACCAACCATCCCTTCTCCCACAAAAAAAAAATCTTACTGAAAGCTAATACTCCCCCCCCCCCCCCCCCCCCCAAAAAAAAACTATGTAAACCATAGAAACTAATTGCCATTATATTTTAAAACTGTAATTATTTCTAAACCAACAACAAAATTTATAAATATCCCTAAAAATGATGGTTGCTAAGGTACAGTGTAGTAAGCATAGTATATACTCCCTCAACTCATTACTTTCCCTTGTTTTGATTTGGCAAAGGGGTTTAGAAAGTAAAAACTGTGCAGTTAAAATTGCATTGAGGTGAAACAGAATCATGTAATAATCTATTCATAGGAACAAAAATTATTTTGGTCTGACAAAAAGGGAAAGAATGAAGCTTAATATGGGACAGGGAATATATACATTGCTTTCAGCTTACTAACATTATCAGTCAATTTATCAGTGAACAGTGACACTAATTATTTTACTATGTGTGATAAATTGGTTAACAGTTGACAAAAGCATATCTGAGTTGTATGGATTAGCCAAAAATGCTAAAGTTTCTTAAGTGACCATTCTAACCTTTTTCATGATTGTTTTCATTATTTATTAATAAATTGCATTTATACATCATTATTTTATTATACAACACTTTCGGTCATTTTAGCCACACCTTCAGTCATTTTAGCAGATCCTGCCATTTTAGGCCATAGTGCCATACTAAGCAGAGTCGAAGAGATTAAGTCACATCATCCTAGAGTAATGGAAGGAAAATAGTTAGGATACGGTTTGCTCTCACCAGGAAGATCAGCATTGGGAGACCTCCGGAAGTAGGTGCAATGCCTTCCATCGTCTGAGGAGTAGGGTGGAGATAAGATGTCAAATATTGCACAAGGAGAAATGGCTTTAAAACAATGAATATTTCCTCCGCTAGAAGGATAGAGAATTGTGGTTCCGCATGGTGCAGTCATCTGACAATCTTTAACAAGCTTTGCTGGTCGCGCACCTGAAAGCCAATCATACATATGCCAACAAAATGTGAACTTGGTATCCAACAATAATATGGTTTCCATACTGAACTACAACGAACTAAAGGGAAACTTGTGCTTGACAAGTAATGAAGGCATATGAAATCATCGCATTCTTTTGAAAATATATTTAGAGTTTAAATTACAGCACACCTTGAGCCAGGTCAGAATCTACTGGCACATCTATCCAATCATAGGATTTCACATAGAAAGAACCGTACAGAAGCTTGCTTAACACTGTCATCCCAGGATGGTTATGAAGAGGAATGATTGAGGAAGGCGGCATGCAGAATATTCCCATCTGTTACATTTAAATTCAATACGCGCTCATCTTTCAATCACTTACAGTATTAATTTAACAATATTTCTTTCCATCAACATTAGCATAAAAGGCCAATCACAAGTGTGTGCAAGACTCACAGAGAAACTTTCAGATTCATGTATATGAATGTATTTGATAGGAGGTGGTGATTGTGAGACCCCATTAAGCTCGTGTGCACTAGCACTCCAGTTTCGTACCAATTGTGCCTCCTGCTCAAGGCCAACATCAGAAGGCTTGATTTTGTCTGAAACAATAAGGGAATAGTAATAAACTAACCAAACGCTGTTCCGATGTTAGGACTGTTTTGATAGAGATGCTGCATTAGCTAATATAAGCATATGGTAATGAAGCAAAAACTTTCTAATTATGATAAAAGGATAAAGCACAGCTCAAGCCTCTTTGACTAGGGCTATTTTTGCTGACATGGCTGATTTAATCTGCCGAGTTTTCTGAAAAGAAAGAGCTTGGTAAAATCCATTTCAGCAAAATATGCAAGTCAAAAGCTATGCTGATTATTCTGAGCCTGTTTGGTACAAATAATTGACTGAAATGACTGAACATTTTGAACTGCCTGATAGGAAAAGCGTATGCCGTATGGTAATATCAATTTCAACCAAATAGTTAAGTCAAAGGCAACTTGTTCTATTCATTCTGACTATTCTTCCTATAAGCATAATAAGCCCATTGATGCTACCAAACGGGGACATTTCTTTTTCTGTTGATAAGGCAAATAAGCCACTTTTATAAACCACTTAAGGCTATTCTATAAGCTACATTCTAGAAGCCAGTTAAGGCAGCTGCAGTTGACACCTTGAACCTATATCCTAACTTCTCCGACGATTATGTCACGAGCTTGCAACAATGGGAAAAGACATTGTAGAATTCTGGCTAGCACTCAAAATTAAACCTGACAATATGGCATGTTGCTAGGCTGCAAAAAGTTCTTGATAGTTAATATTAACCAAAGTACTAACTCAGGTCTTTCTCATTAAAAGCATGTCATTCTAAGTCCCTCCAATAGGAACACATTTAACAAGAAAGATGGAATGATCGGGGAATTTCAGTCTAAGGTTCTGAATATTATCACCTTTAATGAAGCCAACAATTGCATTCCTAACCAGCAACAACAACAACAATTGCATTCCTAACCAAAGTACTAAATTAGGCCTTTTATAAAAAATTAACACATTTAACAGGAAAGATGGAATGATCGAGGAATTTCAGTCTAAGGTTCTGAATATTATCACCTCTTAACGAAGCCAACAATTGCATTCCTAACAAGTACTAAATCAGGCCTTTTAAATTAATGAGCTAAGTAATGGGAGTATGATTTTCTTCTATAATTACACATCATATAAATTATTGGGATTATCCTACACATGTTAGAGACCAATAATATGATATATATATAGTTGACTTGGTCTAAATATATTAGAATGAGTACAAAAGGACATCATGTGACAAAAGATAAAACAATAGGACCCATCTTTCCAGTCTAAGGAAAGATGGAATGATCGAGGAATTTCAGTCTAAGGTTCTGAATATTATCACCTCTTAACGAAGCCAACAATTGCATTCCTAACTAAAGTACTAAATCAGGCCTTTTAAAAAAAATTAAAAGTGTGTCATTCTAAGGACCTCCTTATGAATTCATTAACTGAGAGAAGGAATTATTTAGGAAATTGACTACACAGTAATGAATTCAAAACAAAGAATACAGTCATCTTTACAATAGATGACAACACGGGAATTATTTAGGAAATAGACTACACAGACTGTTACTATCCATTAGATTTACACGGTAAGATATGTATGACCATGTGGAAACATCACATAGCTTGCAACAAAGATGATAAATATCTAGTTTCCACAATTAATATAATGCTTATATTAGAAAAGCAAAAAAAAAAACTCGTATATGTCTAGGGAATAAGGAGTGTTTCCCCACATATCCATTGATTAAGCATGAAATATGAATATAACTCTCAAAAGAAAGGATAATTTAACCTTTAAAGATTGAAAATGGCTAATATCGTGTAAAATTACAAATTTACAATGATATAAGGGCATACTAATGAGTGATAAGCATTTACATCAACACATTAAGTATCATCACTACTTTTAAAACTCAACTAATTTATCACTATGCATATAAATTTTTAGCATCAATAGAAGAAAAAACTGAAGGCTATTTAAAGACTAGTCTAGCTAATTAACAGTTAAGCAAGTGTAAAAAAGGGTCTAAATTAGTAACTTAACTGAAAACTAGAATGAACAGTTATGTCCATTAGAGCATGCACACGGGAAAATGAAAAACACACTGAAAGACCAGAGGTTCAAATGTAACTTGTCAAGGGAACATCAATGCACTGCATCCTCCTACCTAACAAACTGCGAACTTTTTCAAGAGCCTCTTCAGAGACCGGTCCATTTGTTGAAAGGGATGCCTGGCAAGAGTTATAAAGCTTTTGCACCGCAGGCATTTTCAGCAAACCAGAAACTTTAAAATGCCAACTGACTTCGCAAGACAGTGGTAAGAGCAATAGCAACACTCCTGATCTGAAGGGTCCTCTATTTAGTGGAAGACCCTTCAAAAACACAATTGGGAACAGATTGGACTCTTTATTGTCAACCAATACTACATTCAGGCGATGGTTATCTGATCCACTCTCACATTCTATCTTCAACAGGACATGCTGAAAAAGGAAACCTCATAGTCAGCATCTAAAACAACGCCTAACAAAAGCATCAAAATCCAATGTCAGAAATTTCAAATTCATGATTTGTATCAGTTTCCAGTGCCCAGCTCTCAAAGCTCAAACTGCCTATTCGCAATCCATTGCATTATTATCCTTATCTAATCGATACAACATTCCAGCTTATTCCCAGGTTCAAATCCCAATCGAAATTCTAAAGGTATTGGGTTGGTTTCCTTAAAAGATGCAAATTTTGAACAATCTCAAATAAAAACTATGAAAAACAGAACAAAAAAACGGGGAACTCTGCAAATACTTGTTAAAAAGAATTTTAGTTTTGAGTAATTAATTGTAGCCTGTAGGTAGCTGAATACACAGAATAAGGGGAAAGCTTCGATTTTCTGATTGGCGGACTGGAAATGCAACCACGAAACTGAACAGATTAACATGGAAAGAAGAATACACACATGTATCGTTACACACAGAGCGATTAAACAGTGGCAACTGCAAATTTGGCAAGAACAGATGAAGGTTTAGAGAAACGCACCTGGTACACGTCATCGAGTAAATAGAGATAGAGTTGCAGAGATCGTCAGAAAGAGGACGCGGATCAATTGCGTTCGCGTAAAGAAAATTTCCCTGGAGCCATTTTTTTAGCTTTTGGAGGCTTTCGGGTCTCGTCACGGGTCGGAGCTTTATGCGTTTTGTGGGGTTAAGGTGCCAGGTTTTTTGTACCTAAAGAGGCAAAGACAGCCATAATGGAGGACGGGAAGTGGACATAAATAAACTACTCATTCATAAGAGTGTCATCCCTATGTTCCAAAACACCTCAGTGTACTACAAATTTGAGTTATCACTTTCCTTCACATTCTTTTACTACTACTATTATTATTATTATTATTATTATTGAGGGTTGGAGGGTTGGAGGGTTTCGGAGGGGAGGGGAGGAAAGTGGGGGAGTTGTGTGTATTTTGTTGAAGGAAATAGTGGGGGGAGGAAAGTGGAAGACTTTCGAAATTCTACACTTCCTCTCATTCTAAACTCCCAAATCGGGGTATTTTGGAGGAAACATGTTGATAATCACAAACTATTCATCTCCTACGTGAATGAACAAAACGTTATAATATAAAAAGGTAAAAAACAAAAAGTTTTGAAAAATTAAAAAATTAAAAAATTTAAAAATTTAAAGATTAAAAAATTTAAAAATTAAAAAATTAAAAATTTTAAAAATTAAAAATTTTAAAAATTACTTCCTCCGCGTCCCGGTTATTTCTTCCAACTTTCCTTTTTGGGTCGTCCCAATTAATTATTCCAACTTCCACTTTTGGAAAAAAATATGTGGTTCACATTCATTCACCTTTTTCTTACACAACTACAACCATACATTTTCACTTTATTCCCACTACCTAAATTTGCGATACCGGTCAAAACCGGAATAAATTACCGGGACGGAGGGAGTATAAATAAAAAATTTTAAAAATAAAATCAAAAAAAAAATTCCAAAGTGAAAAATGAAAAATTATAAAATTAAAAAAGTAAAAAATCAAATAAAATAAAATTATGACTCATGACCATAGGAGTAATATTCACAATAGTTAGATATGTATCTATTTTTTTAAGTAAGCTATCAAATAAAAGTAAATTGAGAAAATATTTTCATTAAACCTTTCCTCCTATTTCCTCCAACCAAACACAAAATTATGATTTCTTTGTTTAATCACAATCCCTCTCTTTAATCAACTAAACTCTTTTATAAATTCTTAAAAATGAAATGAGGCAAAGACGTTAAACAATGAAAATGAAAAATATGATCCCATCATGTCAATTCCAAACATGTTATTCGCTTATTCACCAAGTAACAAGTATGTATATAGACGTGTTGAATATATTTGCGGTAGTAAATAAAGTATAATGAAATCAAAATATTTATTTCTTTTACACTAAAATCAACACAAGCTGATCTATCTAAAAACAATTATGTAGTACCGAGTACTTTTTTATTTATTGGAAAGAAAAATAATAAAAAACATTACCAAAAAAGATGAGGTTTCATCCTTGAGGGTCTCTAGAATTGGTATGATGTTTTATCTAAGAAGGTAAATTGAGCTTGGATCCCAAAGTGATGATGAGAGTGAGGTATTTTCATGAAATAGAACTCGGTTCTCCTTTGTGACACCTTCTGTTCACCAATTGAGCTACGCCCCGACATAACATTAACATGATTACACTGGTTACAATTTGATAAACTATAAGTCACTTGGTTGGAGTGATATTATTACTCTTGCAAAGTTAAAAACAGAAAACATTTGTCCCATTTTCCTTGTTTTGAAAGAACAGCAAAACAAAAAAGAAAAACTTTTCTCCTTTTACAATCGAACAACAGACCAAGTGACCAACCCCAACTACCAAAAACACCCACCAACTCACCAAAACTTATTTTAAATAGTGCATGTGCATCCTTCGGCCAGTAAGATCTGAAAGACTGAAACGGCCTAAAAATGTATTTATAGTCCAATTCTTTTTTTTTTTTTTTCGGAAAGGGTCAAATAGACCCCTCGCACCAGGGGCGGATCTAGTAAGCTCATAGGGGGGGCAGCTGCCCCCAATAAAGTCCAACCAGTCCTTGTAATTTGTTACTCCCTCCGTCCCTAATCTTTCTCCCTTTTCGGCTGGGCACATTTATTAAGATAATGGGATTTGTGTGGTGGAGAGTTGTGCAGAGGAGAGAGAAATGTGTAAGAATGTGTAAGAATGGTTGTGAACCACAAATTTTTTGCTAAAAGGGGGAAGAGGAGATAATTTTGGGACGGACGAAAAAGGAAAGTTTGAAGATAATTTAGGGACGGAGGGAGTAATAAATTTCAGAAGCTCAGCTATTTGCCCCCAATAAGAAAAATGGATTGCCCCCTATAACTTGAGAGTCGAGCCTTCTCCTTTAATGCAAAAATAACCTTGGAGTTAGAGACACTAGATTCCAAGACAGTACGTGCGTGGCTGAGCAGCAAGACTCCAACTCTCTATGTTAGATTAATAAATCAATTAAATGTTAGGTTTAGAGCTTTGCCGTTTTAGTTGCCTAGTTTAGTTACGTTGTTTAATCTTTTGTATGTATTCATTGTATTGTTTACTTGTTTAAGGTCATACATTAATTTTTAATTTTTATATAAATATAAATACTACGTATTAAATAAGGTTATTAAACTTATTTTCATTGTTTCAATAAAAAACTTATTTTCATCAATTAGGAAATTTTGAGAAGGATCAATTAGATTTATTTAAATTGATGAGTTAGTGGAATAGTTAGAAATTCTAACATAGAAAATGTGATTTAATAAGTTAGAAATTCTAAATGCAAACAGTATGTTACTTCAGGTAATTAAATAAAGTGTATTGATGTATTCAAAAAAAGTTATACCCTCTCTGTCCCATAACATTCTTCTCACTTACCATTTGGGGATGTCTCAAAAAATTCTTCCAATTTCTCTTTTTGAAAAATTTTGTGTGCTCGATATTCATTTACTTTTTTCTTACTCAACCACAATCATATATTTTCACTTTATTCTCACTTTCATAAACTCGGATTCAAGTCAAACAGGAAAAAAATTTATGGGACGATGGGAGTATTTAATTTCTCTTCTTTTGCATACTCAATACTAAATACTAGACAATCGAAATTTTATTGTTTCAAATATTGCTTCTCAATGTTCTCAATGTTTTCTTAAAATAGTGAAGACTAATTTGCGTAATAGAATTGGCGATAAGTTTTTGAGTTTTTGTCTAATTTGTTTTATTGAGAAGGGTGTGTTTGAAATTATTATACTTAAAATTTTAATGAATCCCTTCAAAAAGATGAAAACTCAGTGCCAACAATTGTATTGTGGATGTATTTTGTTAAAACTTTTGTTAGTGTAATGTTACATTAATACTTTATTAATTTTTTAATTTTCAAATGTTGTTTTTATTTACCCTGCCTAGCTGCCCCCAATAAATTATGATCCTGGATCCGCCACTGCCTCGCACTAACTTAAAAAATGCAAATCACTCATTATATAGGAGGCTCTGTTCGCTCGTCATCATTTGGGACAGTCCTCGGTGAATTTTTTTGATGAAATTTTTTTAGCATCTTCTTCATGAAGTCTAGTTTACCCATACCAAATTTCAGATAAAAATTCAACCGGGAAGACAATCAAATGATATTCTGAAATGTACTGCGCTGTTAAATGCGCAGTTATCTTCACAAATTCATTTGACTACTTTCCCAATTGTTGGAGCTCATGAATGTATATGGACACAAGGCGTTAATTGTGTCAAGTTTCTAAGTGAAATTGTATAGAGATTTATGTGTGTAATATCTTCAGTATTTCAAAGAGGTTATATAGTTCGATTAAAGTTTAGTCTACTATTATGATCCGAAATATTGTAAAGAATATTGCACTAAATGAAAGTTCAATCTTTACGACACTTTCAATTATGCATAAGTCTTGATAAGTGGTCTATTTGGCAAGGAATGATCATGTTTATATCTCAATAAATGGAGAAGGATTGTTGGATCTATTGAGAAATATGACTCAAGTGTTCAACATGATCCTTAATAATATTATTTTGATGAGCTGTTGTTGAGTATAATTATAATAATATTATTAAGGATAAACCTAAAGTTTAGTTATTGTATTATTAGACATGTAAATTACTTTTCCCACTGGTTAAAGTAAATGTTGATGTACTAATAATAATAATTAAATTATACTCCCTCCGTCCCGCAATGAACTTCTCACTTTCCTTTTTTGGATGTCCCAGAAACAAGTTCTCATTTCCTTAAATGGCAAGTTAATCTACATCAAAACAGTGTCAAACGGTGTCGAATCAGTGTCAAAACAGTAAAATTTACCTCATGGTAAGTTTATTTTCTTAATACTACATCCATCCCTTAAAACTTTGCCAAAGTTGACCGGCACAGAGAATAATAAAGTAAAAACTGTGTGGTTGAGGTTTGTGTAGAGGAGAGAGAAGTAAACGAAACCACAAAATAATTGATTAAAAGGGAAAGTGTCAAAGTTTTTTGGGACGTCCCAAAAAGGAAAGATGACAAAGTTTTAAGGGAGAGAGGGAGTACATTATTAGTGGATGGTGATGCATGTGCCTGTGTCAATTTTGTTTAAAAATAAAATTGGCAAAAGTCATGCCATTTGCGAGCAACTACGTATGTACATAATCAAATGATAATCAAATACTCCTTCCGGTCCTAAATAAAGTTCACACTTTTTTTTTGGGTGGTCCAAAATAAAGTTCACATTTCTTCTCCTTCCTTATTTGGCAAATTATCTACATCAAAACAATGTCAAACAATGTTAAACAGTGTCACAACAGTGTACTCTACAATAAAGTCAAATTTATTTCCTTAATTTGTGTAAAAACAAACACTGAACTTTATTTAGAACCGGAGGGAGTATTATTTTGATTTGATTTCAAAATTGGGGAAGGATAATGCTCCAATTTACAACCCTCGTGACTTTTCATAAAGTCGTAATGTTTCGAAAGAAAATGATGATGTGAGACATGTGTGTTGTTGACTATAAATATATGTTGAACGTGAAGTTAAGGGGAACTTCAAAAGTATTCCTTGCTATAGTTATCCTATTATTTGCAGTAATAGTAATTAATATTTAGACTACTTTATATACATATCATTTGTTTAGCGTTATGTTGCGAGTAACCAAAATACATTGCACAGCTTATTTTTATCCCAACAGTTAT